CATGGCTTCCGGGCCCTTGACCGCCTTCTGCACGGCCCACAGCTGTGCTTAAGCGGAGGCTGCTGATGCCCGCGCGTCGGGTCAAGCGCTCGCGCCGGAGACCCCTCCTCCCACCCACGCCAGACAGCGGCCCAGATGGGGACAGCTCCGACTGACCTGCCCCGGCCCTGCCACTGTGGCAGGTTTTGCCCCTCCCCCGGGAGGCCGCGACCTCTGCCACGTGGACCTTGCGCGGGGCCGCCCCCTGGTGGCCGAATGGAGAAGTCCTGCCTAAGCCTTTGCAGAGGGGCTGGTCCTTTCACGTGTTGTTTGCGGGGGAGGGGTGGCCGAGGGGAGAAAAAGGAGCGGTCTTAGCCTCTCTTGCCAAAACTCCGTTATTTTTAATTAAATTATTTTAGTAGGACCTGGTGTTGAGTTTGTACATCTGCCATACAGACACACTTGCACCCACCCAGGGCACTGTCTGAGGCCATTTAGGTTGTGTGTGAGGTAGGGAGTCTGTAAAATCAAGTTGGGCACTGCCAACCTGGGTTTTAGGAGTGTGAGGGAACCCCTCCCACCACTGAGGGGGGAAATGGTGGTGGTACTGAAACGTTGTCTCCAAGCCCCTTCTCGAAAAGACAGCAGGAGGGCTTCCCTTCCTCACTGTGGGGTAGCTGTATTCATTTGCTTCCTGCTCCAGACACATTTGTCTTTCTCCCTTCCGTGTCTGCCCCTCCCCTCAATTCTCTAAGCATCAGAAAAAGCACATGATCACTTATTTATTTTTGATACAAATGTACATGATACACATCTTGACAGTCAGCCCACCCACCACCATACAGGTAGAGCCTGGCCCCCTGGGACAGAGGCAGGTCGAGGAAAAGAGCTGGTGGGCGCTGCCATCTGCCTCTCCAGCCTTCCCAGGCTGCAGCCCAGGTTCCAGGTACCCAGACGCCGCAGGCACAGGTGCTAGCCTCTCAGAGGTTATAGGGAGGGGCCTCTCAGCTGAGTCAGGGACCCCGGGGAGCCAGCCCCAGGCTCAGGTGCTCAGTTCTCTGCCCCAGCCAGCACACTCCCCCTCCACAGGGAGAGGGAGGAGAGATGGAGGGAAGTGGTTTTCATTTTAAGTTTATAGAGAAGGGGTACAAGTGGTGGAAGTGATGAGGGGAGGCAGTGGGCAGGACCCCAGTTGGTTATGCTGGCAGTCCCTGGCCCCAGGATGGGTCAGAGTGGGGCTGACCCCCAATGCTGGTCCTGCTGCTCTGGTCCCCCCACCCCTCACAAAACTCCATATGGGCCAGGCCTCTGGAACGGCACTGCCGCCCCACACACTCACACGCAGGCACGCAGGGACACTCAGTTACCACAACGTTAAAATTAAGGGGTGGAAGAGAAAAGAAAAAAAAAAAAAAGATTTTCCAGTGTTTGCTGCTGGGGACCCCGGGAACACAGGTTGGGGCCTGTGCCCTAGGCGGGGGCCGTTTGGCATTAAAGGAGAGCAGCATGGGGGCTGGCTACAGGGTGGGACATCCACAGAGATTATGTACAAAGGAAGGGGATGCCCCCACTCAGCCCCCAATAGGGCTGAACTGGCTCATGGGGGTGGGATGCATGTAAGGGGAACTGTCCCACTTGGAGTGTCCCCACCAGACCCTTTGATGAGGGTGCCCTGGAGGGCAAGGGGCTGGGAGTGATGCCTTACAGGCCCCTGCATGTTAGAAGGGGGGGGGATGCTATGTACAGGGGGGAGGTACATGGAATGTGGGGGCAGAAGCTCCTGCCACCCCACCTCCCCATCCTTGGGGGCTTGGGGGAGGGCGGGCCCCAGGGCGCCTGGCTGCCAGGGGAGAGTGGCAGCACTAAGGGCACTTGCGCCAGCGGCTCTGTTGGGGTGGGGATTAGTGTTTGGAGTGGCCTAGCTCCCATGGCCAGTGAGGTCCCAGGGTGTAGGTGAGGGTACAGGGAGAGTGGTCACTGCTTCTTCTCTCGGGTAGTGATGGTGACCAGCTGCTTGGCAGCCTTGGCAATGTCATAGGCGCACTGGATCACCTGCTGAGTCAGCAGCTGGAAGTCCACAGGGGCTCCAGGCTCCGGAGGCACTGTCTTCCGGCACTCACTCTGCAGCCGGTAGGCGCTGGCGTTGAGCAGCCGCAGAGAGCTGCGCACAGGCTCCAGGGCTGGTCTCTGGAGGGAGGAAGGAGGTAGTTGGGACTAGTTCAAACCCTGAGCCATGATTACCGCCGGGTGTATCCAAGTAGCAGTTAGATTCTCTACACCTGCCCCACCCTGAGGTCCTCCCAATCCTGCTCTTCTCTGGCCCCTGTACCTTTGGGAAGAGAGAGGCCATCTCAGTCACAGCCAAATGGATCTTCTCTGAACAGGGCACAAAACTGTGGGGGAAGGGGAGAGTATAAGTTAGGGGGGCTCTTAGGGAAGGTTCCCAGGGACAGTGGAACACTGATCCCTCTCTTGGCCTTGGTAACACCCATAGGCTATATAAGCTGGTACCCCCTCCCCATACCTGTCATGCTTGAATTCCTGGGCAGCCCGCAACAATTCCTGAATGTTCTTGGTGACCTGCTCTGTCTTCAGGATGACGTCCTCCGTGCTGGGAAGCCCAGGGTCCAGGTCTCCATCCAGGTTTTCCAACTCTGGGTGGAAGTCCTCCTCTTTGCCCAGCTCTAGAAACCTCTTCCCTTCCAGTCTGAGGCCCGGGTTAGAAAGAGAGACATTCAACCATGAGGCCTCTTGTCTGCACCCTCAGACACTTCTGGGGACCACTTGACCTCCCTCTGTCAGGGTGCCTCACCCAAGCAGGGGGTCCCCACTTTGTGTGTTCTCATAGTCGCTGTCGGCACCGCTGCCGTGGCGGGAAAGCTTGCTCTGGAGGGTGCAGGGAAGGGGTGGTAGGTGAGGTACACATTCACAGTCCCACACAGCCCCATCACCTCCCATGCACACAGCCCATTCAGCCCATCCCTTGGACACAGGAGATGGGACTTTACCGTGTGGCGGCTTCCTTCCTGGGAGCAGGACAGCAGTGGGGAGGGGGGAGTGAAGGGCACAGCTGAGGCTGAAACCCCCTTCCGGATCTAAAACCCAGGAGGGCTGCAGTCAGTCTCTCCTCCTCCCTGTTGCCCATCTTCCAACTTCCCCGCAAAGGGTGGGAACCATGTATGTCTAGTCATCCTTGTACCCAGCCTCCAGCACAAAGCCTGGCACCCACTGGGACTGAGAACCTATTTGCAGAAACGGACCCACCTGCTCCAGGTCCTGCTTACCCGGTAAAGGCCGGCAGGGACGTGAACTGAATAGATGGAGTCATCCTCCAGCTCCTGGGGGTTAGCACACTGGATATCATAAAGGGTCCTGTGGCAGACCCAGCCCTCTGTCTCCCCACCAGCCTGAGCGGGCAACTCACAGTGCTGTGGAATGGCTGTAGCCGAGTGGCAAGCTCGTCCCCAGGCGGGCCCCCAAAGGGCTTCAGGGCAGAGCCTGGTTCATACATGGAGAAGGCCTGGCGGTCCCTGCGGTGGGCACTCCCACCAGGCCCTATGGATGCATGTTCTGCCCGGTCGCTGGGGAGTGGGGGAGTGGGCACCGGCCCAGGTGGCTGCCGGATCTGCAAGTTCTCCGCCTGCAGCTTGTGGATCTGAGAGTGGAGTGGTGTCAAACTCCAGAGGGTCCAGGCCGCACCCTCCCTTCTCCACTGGGGCCCTGGGGAGGTCCTACTCCCCTTACCTCCCTCTGCAGCCTCCGGAGCTCGTCACTCAAGCTACTATTGACCTTCATGAGCTGCTGCACCTTTGCCTCAGAGGTAGCGAGGGCCTTCTTCAGCTCCAGGTACTCCTGCAGCGTCACAGCCCCATCAGACAGGTCTGAGGAATCCATGCTCTGCAGGGTGAGACATGAGCTGGTCAGCCACCAGAGACAGGGACATAGGGCTGCTCTCGAAGCTGTGACCAGCCCACTTGTCCCCCAGGCCCTGGGCTACAAGATGATGGAGCTGGGCCTTGATGGAGGCCCGGGGAGGGACTGGGGAGGGGCTGCGCTCAGACCCGAGCACGGTTGTTCCGCGTGGCACCAGTGCTGCGCAGGGGCTCCTGGTCGGTGTCCTCGTCCGAGGCCACACTGTCGTAGTCGTGCTGGTCGTCGAGGTCACTCTGGCTCCGCACAGACAGCTCGAGGTTGTCTGAGGGCACAGGCCTGTCACTCAGGGCTCTGCCACACAGCCCGTCTATCATGCAACCCCCGAAAGGGAGCCATGAAAGAGAATATCCTGGAACAGTGCCCCCACCCACTCCCTCGCCCTTCCCACCTGTGGGGCTGCTCAGGCTCTTGCCCTGCTGTCTCCTCTTGGCCTCACTGAGAATGTCGATGATCAAGGTGGCAAACTCGCGGGCATTAAAGCGGGCCAACTTCTGCCGCCCCTGTGAGGCAGAAGGGACAGGCTGCCATGACGGGGCACCCTGCTATCTGCTATCAAGCTATCCGCTTTAACCACAGCTAAAACAGCCCAGCCCGGCTCACTTGGCCAGGGCAGGGGGTGAGGGATGATACAGATTCAGGGTACCTAGGGGAGCTCTCAGGAAGAGGCTGGAACTGCCCCCCAAGAAGCTGCTCAGCAAGTGCTCAAAAGAACAACTTCTTTCCCACCCCCCAATCCCAGTGCCACCCGGGCCTGGAGGGGGGCCTTGGTCAGCGGTGGAGAATAGGCCCAGGCCCAGACAACAGCCAGTGAGAGAGGACAGGGCCCACAGACCTGGTAACCCCAGGAAGGGAGGAAACAGCCCCAGGCCCCCCACCAAACCTCCTACCTGATTCCGTGTGGCTGAGTATTCAGGGTTAACAGGCAGGAAGGGCACAGCACTGCGCTCTGTCACCAGGGTGCTGTGGTTTTGGGTAGCCAGCCACACTGTGGGGGAGGAGCAGGGAGCAGATTGTCCAGGGTGGCCAGGCCCCACGGGTGGGGGGAGTGCTGAGCACAGCCTTCCTAGCTCTTCCCCATGCCCAGGGAGCTTGGTGATGAAAACAGGGGTGGTCTTCAGACAGGCACTGGGCGAGGCCAACTGGGGACTAACACACAGAACAAGGCAACTCCCTCTCTCCAGGCCCAGCCGAGTTTGGGCTGGAATCTGGCTGTGGCCAGGAAGGAGTGCTTGGG